CACGACAGACGCACAAACCCTCATATATGGGGCCGCGGAGCGTGGGAGAAGAAAGGTGCCCCCACAGGGCTGAGGCTGATGCTGATGATCTGCTGGAGCGGAAAAGGATAAAAGTGGAGGTTGAGGCTGGAGGTTAAGTTGACTTCATGTCTTGAGTTGCGCGATTGACTTGCTTGTCGACTTGTTTACTTGCCATTGTGGTCATTGCGTGACTTGCGCCAATAACTGCTGTGACAGTGTGCCACGTATGCTTGGCGTGAGCTGTGTAGCTCAACGCGATGTGGGTTTGGGCAACGTGGTCACTGAGAATGCTTCACGACAGGACACAGTTGGCTACACAGTTGTCCCGAGGGCGGTGACACTAAGGCAAAGAGGACAAAGATCAGTAAGTGTCAACACAATCAATGTGGAAAGAGTAATGTCGTGAGAGATTATCATTGAGTTACTATCTACAGGAGCCAATGCTAATGGCCCATCCATTTCCCATGTCGGGGTATCAATCGCAGTCATAAAAGACCGCCCAGGCACAATGAATCCGTCATTATCATTATGCCTTCGCGTGAGTGTTCGTTAGGAAAGAAGAGAAAGCTGCGCCATGCATCCACGTATCCAAAGCCCGCCTCGCATTACCGACCCGATGCTACCAGTCATTATACACATTACTCCATCGAGCGAGGACCTTGGTTGTGACGGGAAGGTGAGACGCTTAGAGGAGGAGCCATGCGGCGATACCGGCACCAGCGAGGATGGGCATGCCAGTGGCCTTGGCAGCGGCGCCATCAACGACGGAGGAGGCAGCGGAGCCAGCAGCGTCGGTGGCAGAGGCAAGGGCAGAGCCAGCGGAGTCGGTAGCGGACGAAGCAGCGCTGCCGGCGGACTCGGTGATGGAAGCAAGCTCGGAGGCAATGCTTGAGCTGGCGGAAGCGAGAGCACCGCTAGCAGAGCTGATAGCAGAGCTAACCTCAGAGGCGATGGAAGAGGTGACGCTCTCGAGGCCAGAGGCGGCGCTGGAGGCAGCGCTGGAAGCCTCGCTGACGACAGAGGTGATGACGGAGGTGACAGCTGAGCCATCAGACTGGACAGCGGTGGCACTAGCGACGGCTGAGGTCAAGATGGGAAGAGCAGCGGGGGTGCCAGAGCCAGTGGCAGCGACACCAGCGCAGCGAGCGTAGGCCCACTGAACGGCGGAAGCAGACTGGTCGGCGTCGCAGGCCTGGCGGGTGCAGTCGCGGATACCGTAAGCCCAGTTGGACTGAGTGCAGAAGCAGCTGATGTCGGAGCTCTCGCACTGGAACTCGGTCTGGGCAATGGTGGCCATGTTGTTGATGCACAGGTTCTAAGCGACTGTTAGCATTGGTCGGGATAGTCAGTGGCAGTGGGGACACTTACGGCGCAGTCACCGCTGGGCATGGGCATGTCCTGGGCAAGAGCAGCACCGGCGAAGGTGGCAGCGAGAACGGCGTAAGACCTCATCTTGACTGTGGGTGGGGGGGGAGAGTTTTTGGTGAAGAGGATATTGAAGTAGGATACTAGGTATCGAAGTGAGGGTGAGTCAAGGTGAGTTGAGAGGTGCTTGAGGTTGAGGATGCTGGATGAGGAATTGAGAGAGGGGGCAGCTCGAGCGGGTTTATATCGTAAGAACACAAACAGTCGGGGCTGGGCCGTGGCTGGTTAGTGAAGTTGCGCGCAAACAGGAGGCTGCAACGGGCTGGGTGACGGGTTGGCGCGTCAGTAGCGGAACTAGCGCGAGCAGGGAGCAGCAGCCAAGCCCAGGCACAGAGACTCCACGATCGCCGCCAGAGCAGGGAAACTCGGAATGCACGACCGGTCCCCTGCGCGCCCATTGGCCAATGCGTCCAGCGCTCCTACCTTATGATGTAGCCACGCCAACCACACCCCAGGGCCGATATCCGAAGCTGCATGTACAACTCACATGTCGAACCAGCTTTCTCGTCGCGACTCGCTCGACTGTGGTATCCGCTCCGTCACCTTCGTCATGCCTTCCAGCTCCACAGTCACGCTTTCACACAGCATCCTGCCCGAACTCGACCGCCGCTGCGCACAATCGGCCTTCGCGCTGGTGTGACGGGCTACCAAATTAATCAAATCTTGTGTGCATTCAAGCACTACCAGTCGTCGTGACGTCGAGATAGCGGCTGCCGCTTGGTGCTTACCCGCCCTTTCATTTCCGTTTCACAAAGCTACCAAGAACCCACGAATCTCGCTTCCCCACGAGTGCAGGGGGGCTGGATGAGATCCAGGCCCATAGATCGCTCTTCACCGGGCCAACAGCTGCCAATCACCCACCCACCCTACGGCAAATACCACCTGTGGCGCATGTCGCAGTCTATCAAGCCGCAGCATCAAGCCGCAAGAGTAATCCGCGCCTCTGCATCGCCCTCCAGCTTCGGCGCCGACCCGTCTCTGTCCCCTTCGCCCGCCTCCTGCTGCTCGGCCAGATGCTTCTCTTCAGCTGAGGTGATGCAGTGCGTGTTCGCGCCTACCAAACAGCGGTCAGCTCTGTGCGTTTGACTCGGGGAAGACGACAAAAGGAATAATTAAGCTCACCCAACTTATTGATCGTCTCCATCCACTCATCGTAGGGGTCCGAGTCGAAAACTATGCCGCCCTGCAGCCAATCATTAGCCTCGTGTCTTGCAGCTAAAGCAGGGAATTCGTTAAACTTACCCCTGCTTGGAGATACGCGATGCCATCTTTGACAAGCATGGTCCTTAGCGCAATGCATGTCTGCAAAAATCAGCCTCCTGTCAACCTGGAACAAGGCAAGACTACTCACGTCCATGGCACCTTCAATCTCCTTGTCGCCATCAATACTGCCGTAGCCAAAGTATCCCACCGCGCCAGCATATACACCGCGTTTTTCCCGCTCCAGCTCAGCAATGAGCTCCATAGCACGCACCTTGGGCGCACCGCTCACCGTGCCTGTTGCCGGTTAGCGACATTTCCAACTTTTTCAACGCGCTACCTACCAGCTGGGAAGATAGAGCGGAACGCGTCGAATCGTGTCTTGCCAGGTCGCAGCACCCCGGACACCTCCGAGACCAGGTGCTGCACGTGGGAAAACTGGTTTTGATTGCAGTTAGCATAGCCCTCAGTTTGATATCATAGCGCTCGCTTGATATCATCGCACGGTAGCTCATCGCATGATCCACGGTAATCACGGTTCGGACGGAACGCTGCTCACCTTTTGGACAACCATTAGCTTGTCAACTCGTGTCGAAAGTGGGTCGCACACGCGATTGACGTCATTGCGAGCCAAGTCGACCAACATAACCTGTACAGCACAATGTAAGCTTCCAACGTCGCTGCATGCACTTTGATGTCAGGCAACCCACATGTTCGGCCCGGTCCTTGAGCGAGTTGGACAATTCGTCTGCGAGTGCTGCATCTTCTTGCAGTGTCTTGCCCCGCTTCACTGTGCCGGCAATGGGGTGCGTGATGATGCGACCCTGCTCCTCTTTTACCAGCAGCTCGGGACTTGCCCCCACTATCTGAAAATCGTCACAGTCGACGAAGAAGAGGTACGGTGAGGGGTTGACGTTGCGGAGGTTCCGGTACACGTTGAAGGGGTGCAATGAAGTCGGTCTTGCAAACCGTTGCGAAGGTACTGCCTGGATGATGTCGCCAACGCCAATGTGCTTCTTCAATGTCTTGACGTGGTTCTCGTACCCCTCCTGGCCAATGTTGGATGTGTACTGATGGCCTAGCTGTATAGGCCCTTGTTCCGGTAGCGGGATGTCCTTGTCCTTGAGTATCGTCATATACCTCTTTAGTGTACTCTTCGCTTCCTCGTACGCTTGTTCTAGGTCGTCCATGCTGTCTGGGACCTTGACGTACGTTATGACCTTTACGACCTGCGCGAAATGGTCCAGAGCCACCAGGGTATCGAAGAGCATGAAGAAGCTCTCTGGTACACCCAGCACATCCTTCATGTCATCTCGCCGTGTCTTGGGCTCGAAGTATTTGACGCAATCATAGCCAACGTATCCCACCGCGCCGCCGGTCATAGGAGGTAGTTGTATCGAGGGTACGGTCGCGACGCGGCTCTTTGCGAGTTCCTTTTCGAGGAGGGGTAGTGGATCGGTTTCTTCGCCATGGCCCGGGCCGGTCTTGATGACTTTGCGAGGGTCTGAAGCTTGTCAGCTGTGTATGCCGGAAGTTTGTTCAAGTACCGACCTGCGCCAATGAAGCTATACCGTCCTATGGTCTCGGTTGTCGCAGCACTCTCGAATAGGAAGGATAGTCTTGACTTGGATCTGACCCCACGATTAGCATGTGCGCAATCGATCCAACCCCTCCCGCTTCTGACAGTCGATTCTCACAGCGTTTCTCCGACGTGACCCAACCCCTCCAGTCCACATCGCATGAAATGAGTCACACTCACTTTGCGGATATCTTCAGGTATATGCTTGACGGGGTCAAGAACTCGGCGGGTATCGAGGAGAAAACGGGCACGAGGTTCGGTGGGTAGGGCGACTTGACTGCTGCAGCCAATACCTCTCGAATGGTGTCAAGCGATGGCTGAACGCCTAGCTAAGTGGTCATGCGCTCAGTTCTGTAGCCAGCCGTGTGTGGAGTCATGGACATACCTGTGACGCCATCTTTGTATAGAGTGAGATATGTGTCTATAAAACCTCTGATAAGCGGTGAAAACAGAAAAACCTGTGAATTACAGTCCTCGTTATGTGTATTGAAGCCAGAATTGATGATCCTCGGGCCAATCGGAGGGGCCACAAAATGTTATCGATAGCAAATTCCTTGGCGCACTAGATCTCCGCAGGCCTCGGCGATGCACGCACGTCACAGGCGGTGACCAGCCTTCTCCCGTCTGCCGCGCTTACGCAGGTGTCCGCTCTCTTCAACACCAGAGCGCATCGCTGTTGGAGCTGTATTCCTACCCTTGAGAGCCTTTGGACTGCACGCGCATTGTTTTGGAAGCCAAGAGGAGGATGTGGCCATCGCGCGGCCACGAAAGCGCAATGGACATTCCTCGCACCCTAGACCGGCCATGGACCCCTCCGGAACTCGAAGACAAGGCAGACTACTTCAACATCTACGGTACCTCTCCTCCACGATATCCTATCGCGACCGAGCAGCGCTGGCTGAAAGAGGCCAATCGGGTGCCTGACCAACCTGCTTGGGTCACAGATAGCTTCGGGTTGAACACACCTGCGACAGGACCGCGACCGAAACCCAGCTCAAGACTTACCGAACCAGCGCCATACACACCTACGCGACCATACTATGACGATTCATCGCATTCGCGTACACAAGGCGAACCGCGCTATCCCTACACTCCTGATAGCTCACGCATACTACGTCGAAACAACACCGAACTCCCCGCCTCACCGACACCATGGGACGACGACTCGGAGACATCCTCATCGCCCGTACAGAATGCGCTCTCATCCTGCATCGCGCACTTCGAGAACCTCATCCAGACACACCACCCCGACGAAGAGCAAATGGAGTACATCGTCGGACAATTCGAAGCCATGACCGCGCACCTCTCCTCACCCAGCGCCTCCCAAACCGAAGCGACACACGACGACAAGCCCTCCTCCGACTCCAGTCAGGAACTCGCCATCGTCACACAAGCAGAGGGTGAGCAACACCAACTTGAAGCCAAAACGTTGCACCACGAAGCTTATGTTTCGCAAGTAGGCAACTACATCGCGGGCGTGCAAAAGTACATCTACGACCTCAAGACGCGCATGGACGAGTTCAAAACACTGAACCGCATTCAAACCGACATCATCAACGATTTGCGCAAGCAGATGAGAACTGTCCGCCAATCCATGCGCGAGGAGCTGGACAAAAGCTACCATCATGACGATCTTGCGAAATCTGTCTGGTCGGATTTCGGCGCAAAGAGCGAGGCGCTACCGGAAGATGATGAGGTTCACGATAACAACGACACGGCGAAAGAGTTCGGGATGCTAGACAGCTGTATGACGCTCGTCGAGGAAGAAGACCTATCCCGAGAGATTCACGAAGAATACTCCAAACTACTACGCGATACCGTCGACACTCTCATTACCGAAGAGCCGTCATCGCCCAAGCGGAAGGTTATCACTATCATCCGATCGCCTCCCCGACGCAGCTTTTGGGGCTCCATGGGCGAGGCGCTGGATGCGGTTTCGAATTTGCTCTTGGAAGAATGATTTGATGCGAGATGTGGACGACGACGACTTTGCCTACGACCGACACTGCATTTGACGATTATAACGACGATCTTGGAATCACGCACTTGGATGTTACATTGAGATTTACAATGATTTACGGCCGTTGTCGGAGCACATGAATGATGAAGGATGAAGCGGGGGTTTTGCATATGAAAGAAGAGGTGGTTGCATTTGGATTACGAACGATCGTGTAATGACTTTAAGTCATGTTTTGAGCATATGAGTGGCGTTGTCCCTTTTCGTTCTCTGGTTTCTTCCTTTGACGCAACAGCATTAGTACGTTCTGGATACCCATTTAACGTTGATCGGTTGGCATAGCATGACTTACTGTTTCTTTTCGTTGTTGCTTTTTCTGTAGTATACTTGGTTCACTTGCGAAACGCTACTCTTATATACTGAATCCTATGATATGATATCATGATACTTGAATAAGTGATACATTACATGTACCGATGGATATACCGCACCGTTTGCAATAGTCTAAACTTGGCTGCGACTTCACACTACACATCCCATCGCAGACGCCGAACAACAGCAGAATGAATGCATTGGTATCACATGGTCAATGTCGAATCCTCTCTCAACAACCCCCTTCCCCATCCTACTCCACATAATCCAGACTTCCCTTCCCCACAGTCCCCTTCGTCGCCTCAGGCCCCTTCTGCTGGCGAAGCTTCTCCTCGAACTTGGCAAACTCCTGCAACGCAATCTCCTCCTCCTGGTCCAGCACCTGCTGCACGCCCTTAACCTCCTCAATATAATGCATCAACATGCTCTCGATCCCGTTCTTGAGGGTTACAGTACTAGAATCGCAGGTCCTGCATGCGCCCCTCAACTTGAGCATAACCTGTCCGTCGTTGAAGCCGCGGAACTCAATGTCGCCGCCGTCTTCCTGAATCGCGGGGCGGACGCGGGTATCCAGCAACTCTTTGATCATGCCGATGACTTCGTCGTCGTTTTCGTCGTAGGCCAATGAATCGGCTTCTTGGCCGCCTTGGCCTTGCTCGCCGGGCTTGGAGGCGACGGTGTTGACGATGGGTTGGCCGGACGTCATGTATTCGTTGATGAGGGCGAAGACTTCGGGCTTTACGTGCGACCAGGGCGTGGATGTGTCTTTGGTTACGGTGATGTAGTCGGCGCCGAAGAAGACGCTGGTTACGCCGTCGATGTTGAGGAGTTGCGCGGCGAGCGGGGAGGGGTGCGGTGGCGCGAGTGTGGAGCGTGGGTTCAGGTATTCGAGGAAGGGGGAGGAGATTGTTTCGGGGAGGACGCGCTGGTTGGGGTTGAACTTTAGGGCCTGGGGGAGTTAGTATGGGGTGGGGTTGGGGTTGGAGGCAGTGCGTACATCGGCGTTGGGTGTTGGCTCGGTTTGGATGAACATGGTTCGTCGCGCGACTGTCGCTGATGGAGCTGCTACTCTTTGGCTCCATGGCTGTGCGGTCGGTCTATGTTGCAGTCTCGAGGCTGTGATGGGCGATGATTGCTGGTGCAGACATCTCGTGGCGATGCGCGGTGTTGCGGAGCGTAGAGACGGTGTCGCACGGGATAGGCTGCGCATGGCAGAACGTGGGATTGTGCTTGAGGCCATCTTTTGTATAGGTGTGGATCGTATGTGTGGTGGGTAGGGTGGTGTGGTCGCAATGGCGAGGTATGTAGGTTCGTGAATGAAAGTTCGGGAACTCGGGCCAAACGAAACATGACGTTTGTCGGATTATTCAGCCACGCGCTGACTGGCTCCCACTGGTCCATAGCTCCCTCTCTCCTTGTGCGTCCTACATGTTGCACAACTGATACAGAACAATTCGGAAGCATCTCAAACACCGACTTAGCCTTCTGATGGGACTGTAACCACATGGCAAATTCTCTACTTGTGTTATTCCTTGACAGATGCTAAGCCCTTTCGCATAACGCACCCCCACTACCACTCGCCTTGGAATACGAACAGAGGTGGCCACTACTCGTGTCACATTATACAAATGTCTGAGGTTGAAGTATAACCCATTTGAGAACCTATATGCGTGTTAAGCTTTAGTAATGTACATACAGCAAAACGCAAATGCGACACGAATTTTGGCCACCCCTGCTGATGCTCAGTCTTGTATCGGGTGCGGTGATATATACATTCCGGCATCTGAATCACGTCTTTCGAGAGTTCCATACGTCTCCTATCGCTTTATACAGTGTTGGCCACGAACATTGTCGGGAAAGATAAGACTTCTTTCAAGCTTCGCATGGATGATCACGTATGTTCTCGCGTCAGATTTCCATCGGTACCATTTCATTTACTTGTCTTATTCTATTGGGCGGCTCGTACCATCTTATTCTATTGGGCAGCTTGTACGATCAGGACCAACAATTCGCTAATCTGCAGTCATCTGCCCTTCTGACGCGCCACAACAGCGCACTTCTCATTGCGTACCCGGGACTTCATCCCACCCGAGTCTCTTGTGCCGTGGCGCGATACACTCAGGGAACACCTTTATTTCCGGCACGGCATCGTCTTATTGTTGGCACAGATAAGCATGGCTGATTCCCAAATTAGACGATTCTACTTGGATGGGTAAATGGATCTGGGGGCCAAACCTAAGCGCTATTCCGAATCTTACAATTACGCCCTGCGTAGGGCTGTGACACGGGTTTCCCACATCGGTCTGTCTTATTTAATTGAATACCTGACGAGTCCGTTCGCCTTTCTTCGTCATCCTTCTCCTTGCCGTCCTCGTCGTCTAACTCCCTTATACGTTGCGATGCGTGTGTGCCTTCTACAGCGGGTGATATTCTTCACTTTGGCAGTAGGCGTTTGGGCCGATTGCTACTCACGCGATGGTGCGTATGCATCCGTACTTCGGAACCAAAAGAGTCTTGCCATCATAGGCCCTTCTGTCTATTGCTAACGTGCGCTTCTCATAGGCGAGACTTTCCAATCTAACAATCCGACTAGCGATGAATTAGTCTCATGTGGCAAAGGCACGAACAATTGTTGCTTATGGAGCGAAAGTTGCGGCAGCAACTTGCTGTGTACAAGATCAGGAAACATTGGCCGGCAATATTGCGCCGACAAGAACTGGACGGGCTGTAGTGACTTGTTTCCCGGTGAGTCCATACAGTCTAAGTCTTCATACAGAACACTATTAAGAGGACTTTCTAGAACAAGATTGGCAGGGGATAGGACTAATATCATGCGGAGAGAACGTCGTGTGTTATGGGAATGATCGCTGTTGCACAGACGGGCTATCTCAACTGCGCTATGTCAACCCGCTGACAGGCAAGTCTTGCCTCTACGAAGTGCATGTGAGACACATACTGACTTCGTACCCCTAACTCTGCAGGCAAAGTAAGCGACGCACAAGACAAAGATTCAGACGCGACAAAGACGCCAATGTGGTGGAAGGTCGATAGCTCAGGTATACTAGCCAGCTTGGGTACGGCGACTGCTTCACAAGGCGTCGCAGCATCAGAGGCGACAACCTCAACCGATTCAAAAAGTACATCCGCGTCCTCGGACGGTAGTGCAGCGGCCTCTACACCCACCAGCGCGCCGTCTCCAACAGCAACCAATACCACAGATCAATCCGATGTGTCGTCGAGCGGTGGTATATCGGCGGGCGCAGGAGCAGGCGTCGGCGTCGGCGCAACTGCTGCTATAATCATCATTGCGTTGCTCGCTTGGCTCTTCTTTCGCGAGCGCAAGAAGAGAAGAGCACTGCAGAAACCGGCCATGGACACAACCATGCATCAGGCCCATGCTGCTCGGAAGGATATGCATGATTACACGCACGAAGCACCACCCGATGGGCGTACTGAGTTGGAACAAGAGAGGGCGAGATACGAGATGGACGGGAGGGCGGGGCAGGAGTTGCCTTGATGTTGGGAAGCGATTTGGTCTTTCGCCCACCGTCCACCGTCAATATATCCTTTCACAACGAGCTTATCTTCCACATACAACCATAGGATCTTGAGAATTGGGTTTACCCGCGATCCGTCAAAACTCACAGTGCTGGGTGCTACTGGCATGCCACGAACACAGGACTTTGGCATGGAACGATTGGACACGCTTTTCACTTGATCTCTACCTCACTGGTAACTGTTATTTTCGTGCAATCGCTGGGCGATATTCCACCTGTCCGAGTGCTGGCAATGCAAGCCTGGCGCTCGAAGCGCTCGTCTCCATGGTTGTGCAGGATCCTCTCAATGGTCTCCACAGAACTTCCGTCTAATCTGGGACACAACCTTTCTTCACTACTGACGCGGATCGTTGTCGAATACAAATTGTGTTTCTTCCCTAGTTTGGGCTGCGATCCCACCGTGTACACTTGCAGCTCTTTGTCTTCGGTCGATTGTCCGTTTTCGCCTCGTGGAGGATTTTTGCGTGATGCGTTCGACGAGAGGTATGAGCTGTATTTGCCAATCGCAACACGCCAGAAAGGCCGCAGGGCAGGGAAACATCCAGCGATCATGAGGACGTTGTTCTCAGTCCTGCTTGAGTGAGTCAAGGTCTCTTGTGTTCGATAACACTACACTCACAGATACCAGATCGTTATCTCTGACCAAGAGTGTGTCATGTCCGCGACATTGGAGATGCTGCCCATTGCTACGATCTTCATGATGGTTGCGAATGTGCCACTGCCAACGTCAGTAATTGCACCAACAGTGCGGCGAGGTGACCTTACAGAATGCTACCACCCATCAGTATTACAAGATTTCGCTTGTCCTTTCGAGGAATGTTCAAAGTCCTTATGATAAAGTACGGCATGATGGCGCAAAAGACGTCCATCATCGCGTTATACACTGAGGCTTCAGCACCTGGCAGAGACATTGGCACTCTTCCAACATACCTGAGACCGACTTTCCGACAACATCCAGCATTGCGGGGCTCAAGCATGTGCCCTCAATCTGCGGTTTCCAGGACTTCTGTACGGGCGAACAAAAGAAAATCATGACAGAGCATGAGAGTGTGGAGCCGATCAGTAGGACGACCAGAGGGGCGTACGCGACACACTTGTGCGATAGACGCGCTGTGTGTCCTCGGATCTAGGCTGGTAAGCTGAGAGTCACGTCCATTGCATAGTACTGTGTACTTACTCTCATTAGTGCGATGATGATGGAGGCTTTCGTGAAGAAAGCGCTGACGATGGAGAAGCAAGGCGCCAACAGCACGTACATGGTAGCCACAGCCTGATCTTCTGGATCACTGATGTCCCATACATGTTGTCCAAGGCCGTGCGCAGTGCCGGCTGTTACGAGCGATGTACACACTACAGCGAAGATCTGATGTTCGAGTAAGTCAATGGCAATCGAATGTAGGACTGAGGTCTAAAGTCGAACTCACCAGGCCCGCAATCATACACCAGTCGTCCCAGCCCAGAGTCGTCGTCACGATTCGTGCGCGTGTATATGATCGCGCTAAGACGAAGATGGATGAAAATGAGACCAGCGTCCACCCAACAACATTGAGGACTTTTCGATAATCATTCATGTCTGCGGAAAGGAGCAGCGACAAACCTCGAATGCATCGCAACGGCACTCAAAAGACACTTCACAGGGCAGAGCATCGTTCTCATACTGCTCCTGGACATACTGGGTCCCAAGTATGGGTCATTCGAGCGTGCTATCGCTCGTTCAGGTATGCCAAGCTTGTGCCGTATGGCTTCTGGCGCGGCACACTGTCCTACTTGCCGAAATTCCTGCAGAAGCGTCTCATGAGCGTTCATGATTTGATGGCTCAAGCTGTGCCGCAATCCTACACGACGCTACCTGGGTACGCTCGTATCAACCCAGTCGCCCCACGCACTGTCATTGGCTGTGACAAAGGACGGGCCGTGGTCCGCCCCACTCAAGTTCAGGGAGCGGGCCGTATCGAAGCCTCGCATGAGATGAAGCACCGAAAGCTCAAAACATGCCCTGCTATCGCGTTGTATCGCATCTTCGGATAAACAGCGTATTCCCTCATGCCTCGAATTTCTGGATATAAACCACTCCAACCTATTCACAATGGCCACATTATCAACAACAGTCCTATTCGTTGTCAGTCTGCTGGCAACATTGTACCTCTGGCTCCGTAAACGACAAGACTCGAATTTACCTCCGGGACCGCCTCGGTTGCCCATTCTCGGCAATTTACACCAGGCTCCCAAAGAAGCCGTCTGGGTTACATACCAGAGATGGGTGGAACAGTATGGTCCTCTTGTGTACCTCAATTTCGGCGGCACGAATGTGATATTGATTGGAGACCACGAGGTGGCCAAAGATCTGCTCGACAAGAAGGCAATGATCTACAGTAGTCGGCCACGCATGGTAAGTCACAAGTCCGTTTCTGTCGACAGCTGTACTAGCGACCTGACATTCCAAGGTCATGGCACAAGAGTTGACGTGCAAGAGCAAGCACATAATGTTCAAGCCATTCGATAGTGACTTTCTCTTGCACCAACGACTAGAAGCTCCTGTGCTCAGCCCGCGTGCGTCAGCCTGTTACACAGCAATCCAGGACCTAGAGAGCAAACAGCTCTTGAAGAACCTTCTTCAATCAAACGACTTCCCAAAGGAGTTTGAGCGTTTTGCGGCGAGCATCGTATATGCCATCACCTTCGGTATGCGCATCATCACCGGCGACGAATGGCAACTTCAGACCAGTCACGAGTGTCTTAAGAACTTTACTATTGCCGGTCAGGTGGGCGCGTGGATAGTCGATCTCTTCCCGTCTCTCAACCGCCTCCCAGCACCATTGACGCCATGGAAGAAAACGGCTGAGGCGTGGTACCAGATGTGGGAAAATCTCCACATGGCCAACATGCAAGACGCGCTTAAGCGCAAGGGATGGAACTGGGCCAAGGAATTCAACAAGTCAAAGGAGGCAAAAGATCTCGCTGCGACAGAGATAGCATGGGACCTTGGTATCCTGTGTGATGCTGGCGTCGAAACTACACAAGTCCAATTACAGATTTTCATTTTGGCGTGCGTAGCCTACCCGGATTGGATTGCCACGGCTCAGAAAGAGCTCGACGATGTCGTCGGTACGAATCGTCTTCCTGGATTCGAAGATCTTCACAACCTGCCGTATCTTCAGGCTGTGGTAGAGGAAAACTTTAGATGGCGGCACATTGTGCCAGCTGGGATTCCGCATGCCACGACCCAGGAGGACTTTTACAAAGGCTATCTGATACCTAAGGGCTCGGTTGTGGTTCCTGTGTTCGCCGCCATGCGTCAGAACTCTGCCACATTTGACTCACCAGAAGTGTTCCGGCCTGAGCGATGGATCGAAAAGTCTCAGCCTGCCAACTTTGGATACGGCCGGAGAGTTTGCCCTGGACGATTTATCGCACGGAACTCTCTGGCAATAGCCATGGCAAGGCTGCTTTGGGCGTTCACTATACGCTCTAAAGATGGCGCGAGGGTCAACGTCTCGGAAGAAATGTTCACAACTGGGTTTGTATCTGGCCCAAAACCCTTTGTTGCTGTGTTTGAGCCGAGGTCAAGAGAGCGCAAAGGGGTCGTTGAAAGAGAATTCGACATGGTCGACAAGAATATAGCGAATCTTCTAGACGAGGCCAGAGGAAAGCAGATTGCTGCTGGACTGTCGCCTCAAGGGTAGCTACCTTAGTTTACAGCAATGCACACCTTCCCGATGTGTTGACCTGATACCAAATACTCAAAGGCAGAAACGACCTCATCCCTCCCAAAGCCAAACACCTTCTCTACGGGCACATTGAGGTTCTTGGAAGACACGAAGCGTGTGACATCTTCCAGCTGTTGCTTAGATCCAACCATGATGCCGCGGACGATTGCACCCTTTGATAGGGCAAGCGCAGCCACGTCAGGCATCTTCTCCTGGGGACAGGAGGCAAGGAACCCTATTACAGCAATGTTTCCGCCGTAAGCCACTGCATCAATGCTTTGACCGATCGTTCCAGCTCCGCCGTTCTCGAGAATGAAATCTGCACCGTGGCCATTGGTGATCTTGAGCACCTCCTGGGACCAAGCAGGAGTCGATTTGTAATTGACGGTATAGTCGGCACCGTACGTTTTCTGGACGTGCGCGAGCTTGTCGTCTGACGAAGAAGTGATGATCGTGACAGCGCCTGCAGCCCTAGCCAAGATAAGCCCAGTGATCGAAACACCACCAGTACCTACAAATGCAATCAGCGGTAGCTCTTATAGTTTAAAAAAAGAACCCTTACCGAGAAAGAGCACTGTCTGGCCAGGCTTCAACGGAACGTTGCCGTAAAGCGCATTCCACGCGGTGGTTCCTGTACAGACCAGAGCCGAGAGCTGAGCGAAGCTGAGCTTAGTAGTTGAAGGTACCCTGACGAGTGCCGAGCTAGGCAGTGTAATAAATTCTCGAAGAACTCCATCGTAACAACCACCCAAGCTATGGTGCCAATCCGGCATAGCACCGTACAAGGTCTTCAAGTCAAAGGATGCAATCACCTTGTCTCCCTCGGCGAAGTCCTCCACGTGGCTGCCCACACGTACAACCTCTCCGGAAAGATCAGAGCAAGGCACCACATTGTCTTTCACTGGGAAAGGGTACTTTCCGGTGGAAACAGCAAAGTCGCGGAAGTTGAGAGCTACATTCTTGATTCGGATCAAGACTTCTTGAGCGGAGGGTGAGGGCACGTCCTCTTCGCTAACCTGAAGGTCTTGGATGGAAGTGCGCTGGGGCAGTCGAAAAACTCGTTGTGTGGTCATAGCGAATAAGGCTGTGTAAAAGTTGGGGGGTAAAAGTTGTGACGAGGCAAGTTCAATACCCAGCTTGGTGATCGTACCTGAGCGCCTTTATAGCTTTCTAGCGGCACCAAGTATATTGAACCCAATGTTGATAACGTTATGTGTCTACATACCAAACCACACCGCCGAGCAGATGGTTCCTTGTATGCACTAGGGCCATTCATACAGGTGTAACCGCAAGCGCCAGGTCTTTGATCATCCGTCGGATGGAGATTGGACTGCACGTTTTTTTTTAAACTACATGCTGGGTTTGGCCTATGTCTGGCTAGATACCTAGGTAGCGTTTAGGAGAGGCGATGTGCGATCATTTTAGTGCGTGCTTTCCTATTCCGGATTATCGGGTGCTTCGGCTTGCTTCTGACACGGCCCAACCTCGGTAAAGTGTTTGGTACCGTTGAGACCCTGGCGTCAGGGCAAGTGGAAGCGCTCCAGGGCTTATCCACCTTCTCTACGATCACCTCAGCGCATTAGTGCTTCCATTCCCCGTCCTACATGATACATCAATACGTAGTTTCTGACATATTGCCTCAATGGCAGGTGACTCAGAGATCGTTGCGCAAGCCAGTCGAACAAGGTCTCGATTGGGTTGGTAAGATGGAAACTACGTCATCATTGCCTTCATAATGCTAATGTTGCAAGCTGAAGCCTATGCTGCCGGCGCAGAAGGCGGAAGTGTGCGTTCTATCCCAGTTCTCGTGCGTGTTTTTTGGTTCATTTTTCCTAGGCGATGGAGCTCAGCCACGATGCCGGAGTTGTCAAGCTCGCGGTGATGAGTGCCGCTGGGGTCTGAAAGCGTCGTTCCATCCGTCCAGAGCGCTACAATTGTCCAGCGAGCATAGCGCTGCTTTGCTTGCCGTTGAAGGGGAACGAGGCCAATCTGGCGGGCAATCCGTAACGACTGTAAGCTAGGGTCGACAGCTTTCTTAGGTCTTCCTCAAGTGTGCGTGCTCACAGTGTTCAGATCGTGGATAACACGGATCAAATCGTGCGCGAGTACCAAGATTTCTACGCTGCCGCATCCCTAGATTCTGGGAGCTCGAGCGCGGCCGCAGCTCGGTCAGAAAGCCACTTGGACGCGAGCACTTCTGATTATCATCTGGAAGCTTCCGTTGCAGAGTATGCCGAATCGGAGCTCACATCGTCAAGTTCGGTCGTGTTGGACCGCAACGTCGCGGCCAATCCTGCCGCGACGGCTCAAAGTCAGGGTCTTGAAGATACTGGTCGTTTGCTCCAAAGCACCTTTCCCTCTCTGTCCGGGCATGCTTCGTCAGTGAGCACGTCAGCCTCCTCATTTCTACTTGATCGATCCGTCAGCTGTATTGCGCCATCAGAGATTGAGGCTGACCTTCCTGTGTCGAAGGCGGAACAAGCTCGGCTCGTTCGTGTGTATCTGCAAGAAACGGGGACGTGGTGCGAGGCCACAGACTCAGGCAGGCACTTTACAGGATCGTATGTTCATAAATTGATGGAGAACAAACCGTTCGCAGCCGCAGCCATGGCTCTGGCATCCCGACAGCTTGACGCCCTATGTCACAGTCAGCGTCAGAGTACGTTAAGCCTTTATCAGCATGCTGTGCAGTCACTGCTTCACTATGAACCATCTCAGTGTGGTGAAGCTACATTAGCCACTTGTATCCTACTAAGTGTCTACGAAATGATGGCTTCTGATGTTGGCGAGTGGAGACGTCATCTTAAGGTTCGTTTGCCAGGTAAGATTGGTGGATTGCCGATGTTGACATCTTCTACAGGGCTGTGTCTGGAACTTGAAGTCTAAAGGTTGGAACGGCTCTAGTCCAGGACTCGTAAAGGCCTGTTTCTGGGCTTTCGCACGTATAGGTACATTATGGTTACATTGCATCACGTCCTCTTGCTGAATCGTTCTCAGATGTATGGGCAGCCTTTGTTCTCGAAGAAGAGACCCTGATACCAACCGGTGATTGGGTCGATGACAGCAATGTGCGGTCAATTGCGGCCACTGCCTCAATTGACGCTTACTGCAATCTTGCTATACTTATCTTCGCGAAGATAATAAATTCCATTGCAATGAGCCGGAAACAACAAGGACACTTATCTGACAGCCCGTCTACTATTAACGCATTGTGGCATGAACTACAAGATTGGCGAATTCATCGTCCGAGGCAAGTTCTTTCTCTCATCAGAACAGAGGCACATCAAGGGAACCCATTTCCGATTGTTCTCTATACCAGCAACTCATCGGTTTGCGGCAACACTTTCTACCATGCCGGGTCCATTCTGTTGCTACGGACAGGAAATGTATATCAAGACGAGATGCCCGCTGAGACAGAGAGGTATGAGCCAATCTGGCATGCCAAAGAGCTCTGTGGGATCAGCTTAGCGAATCCATCGCATGCCAACTGGGGCAATCACTTACAGCCTCTTTACATTGCTGGGCAGGTATTCGGCGATAGCTCGACTAAGCAGCAAGGTGTTCCACCACGACTGTCTGAGAGCGACGTTGCAAACGATGTGAAGTATGCGGCAGAGAAGCTCGCGCTGTTGAGACACCTATCCAAGATAGAGCAGGAGATTGGCTGGACGACCTCTGGTAGAGCTGCAGACCTAAGAAGACTTTGGGGGCTCGGGTAAACAAACTGTAGAGTTTAGCATGTTAATTGTTCTTTTATGTTACTGTTGCTCATCGTGTCCAGTAGGGTTCATTGGCGGAAGATAGTTGACAAGCATGCCCTGTGCAACTAGTAAAAGGCAACAGCTTCTATGTACACGTTAAACGATGTTGCAAGCTAAGCGCTATTAGAAACTTTGTCACTAATAACGCTGTGCGATGACCCTTATATAAGCTTAGCTGCCGGAAAGCATTGCACGAACAGTCTTTCGCTCGTCATCTACCGTTGATATTTGCTCCCACAACGAGCTTTTCTTCCACATACGACCACAGGATCTTGAGAATTAGGCTTCCCGTCCGCTCAGCCATATACAAGCAAGATACCGGCGGATTAGTACTCGGGTGGGTGACCACCGGGGAATCCCCGCTGTTGTATGTTTTTGAACTTTTTTTTGCGTGTGGATGGCAAAAAAGAGGTTGTATATTTTTGCCATTTGAACCATCTTTTCGCCAGCCGGGCTATCTTTTTGCTATCTGTTTGCGCATCTTGTCAAGGAACAACACACGGTATCCGGTAGTCGAACAAACTACAACTTATTGTTGCTCGTCGTCGAGTGGGGTTAGTTGGTGGGGGACTGTCGGCAAGCATTCCCTGGCCGGCGCGCAATGCATAAGGTTCGTGAGAGACCGAACTAGTGGTCTATCCAATACTCTCGGCGGCTACATGTCGATCATGCGTGTTGTCCCAGTTCACCGCTGGTTTACAACTACGTGTAAAGCTTGTTTACATCTGTGAATGCCGGCGACACAGTATTGTGCATTCATGTTCGTTCGGATAGTTCGCCATGTACTTTATCGCTGGTCATGCTCAACTGTTTCGTCGACAACGAGGATATGTGCCAAGGACACGACACCGGCAGCATCAGCGAGGTACAGCAGTGTTTTAGATCATGTATGTTTCTTCGATATTGACATTAGGTATTAAGTTTCGTATCCAATTCATCATACAAGCTCATCTCATCTCGAGTATTCAACTCCCTCCTCTCCGTGTGTGGTATAATGCGTAAACGTCGTAATAGAGTACAAGTAGTAAGGAAAATTGGTCATGCTCACAAACATAGACCTTACTCAATCTAGAGCATCGCCAACGTCATCTTTTGATGATAGGGTGGAATGGCTTAGTAGTTGGTGGCTGAGCCGTAGGTAGCGGTATTACCGTTGTTGGCGTAGTTAGCCGTAGGGGCAACGTGAGGAGCAGTGTGGTATCCACCGGTCACAGGCTTGTCGGTCGCGAAACCAGTGTGGGGAGCAGCGACGGTGGAACCAGTGTAAGCGGTGTCGTGGCTGGGGCGGTAGTCGTGGGTGCCAGCGGGGACAGCGAGGCCACCAGCGGTAGTAGCAGGGACGGTGCCGACTTCAGGGTCGCGGTGTCCAGTAGTGCGGTTAGCCTTGCGGCGCTGCCAGAACTTCATGCCGGAACCCTTGGTGTAGCCGTTGCTGGGGCCAGGACCGAACGCCTTCTCCTTCTTGTGGTGCTTCATGAGGAAGACCTGGACGAGGGCGCTGAGCAGGAAGAGGAAGGCGCCGATGATGGCGACGGCGAAGCAGGCGGTGTTGAGCTTGCAGATCGTGCCGAGCGAGGCGGAGTAGGTGATCTGGTCGCCGCGGCCGTTGGAACCGAAGCCTTCCTTGGAGTTGGCGGGTCCGTCACCGAGCGGTGTCTCCACGCGGCCGGAGCACGAGGATGCGCCGTCACGGGTCAGGACGGCGACGGCGATCATGGCACCGCAGCAGAGGATGTCGAGGAGTATACCGAGGAAGGCAAAGATTTTCTGGTGATGCTGTTAGTATGTGTTGTTATTTATATCGCCAAGGGTTATCCTACCTTTCCGCCAAGGAAGCAGGTCAATAGGACTGCGAAGATGGTGTATAGCACAGTCGCACCAGCGAGACCGGTAACAGCCTGTTGCCAGACGGGAATGTTGACATCGCGGTCCGCCTCTACAGACAGGAAGTAACTGTAGATACCGAGGATAATCGCAGCACAGCAGAACTCAAGCGCATACAGCGCTGTAGAGCCCAACTTCAAAGCAGCGCCGCCGAAACCCATTGTCGCAATTAAGACTCGAGGTAGGTGAGAAAGGTGCTAGGATCGGAGAGGTGACGAGAAGGGCGATGCTCAAGGTGTATGTTGTTGTGATGTTAGATTGTGAATACTCGCCAGCCACAGGGGGAGCGAAAAGGATTTATGTGTCTCTGTCCGTTTCGATGCTGCCCTGGGCGATGACGCAGCCTTGCAACTCGCTTTCCATGATGCAGCATTGGCGTCGTCGTGCCTACCTTGTTCCGTCAAAGTTCGCTGTCGATCCCGCCCCGTGCGTCAGCCACGCTACCCACTAGCCCGCTTTTTGAACCCTGCTTTTACTCTGCCATCGACCACACGTCATTTTTTTCACCGACGCATCTCATCAAACTTGTGCCCTGAATCGACCAAACAGCGTCCTGGACTGCGCCCCGACCGACGGTTTCGCCGACGAAAGAAACTCAAATTCGGAGCTTGCTATGATGCTGCCCACAAGCAAGATAATCTTAAGCTCCCCTAGTGTCTAGTATTATTTTAGAGGTATTAGGCATTAAGATATACTAATTAATTTATCTAGTCTTTATAGTATAATCTACTAAATTCTTTATATATTTTATACTCTTATTTATTTTCTACTAGTTAGCTCTTTTCTTAAGCTTATAGTTTAAGTACTTAGTAATCTTAGAAGTTATAAACCTTATTTCTTAAGCCTATAAGTAACTATAACTAAGTATTAAGTATAAAAAATATAGCTTTAGTTCTAAGTATAATAATAGTTTTTTTATAAAGAAACTTAAGTATTATTAAGTAAAAATCTAAATCTTAAGTAGTAATACTTATAGCTTAAAGAGCTACTAATTCTAAAGAGGTAAAGACTATTACTAGTACTCTAAAGAATATATAACTAAATCTTTTACTTACTTTTAAAAGTATAGTATTAAGTAAGCTAAGGCTTAGAGTTTTAGCGCTACTACTTTTAAAGTAGTTAAAGCTTCTAAATCTTTTAAGCTAGAGTCTATAAAGTAGCTATTTTATAAATACTTTATAAGAAAATTATAATACTAAATACTTTATAAAAGAACTCTATAAGAGAATTATAATCTAATTATACGCGCTTATTACTAATAAAGTAATATATTTTAAAGCTCTATAGTTAGAATATATATACTAAAAGTTTAGTAAAAGCGCGCTTCTTCTATTTTCTATATTTATATATCTATATACTAAATTAAGCTAAAGATATAAGTAGCTTAAAGCTAATACTAAAAGCTATACTAGTATCTTAAATAAGCTCTTAACTACGTTCTTACTCTTTATAAGTTCTCTTACTAATTATAAGTTAGATACTAATCTTATTACTAGTTATATTACCTTACTATTTAATTAAAGCTTAAATAAGTTATTTTCTTACTACTATATTAATTACTTTTTTTATTATAACTCTTATATTACTAAAGCTTTTATAAGTTACTCTAAGTTTACTAAAAAAAAAGCTATTAAAGTAGCTATTTTAAAAGCTATTTTTATAGCTATTTTATAGAAAGTTATCTAGAATATAATACTTAATATTCTAAGCGCTCTAAGAAGTAGTCTAAAACGCCTAAAAAGCTACTTTAGAGATACTATATTATCTACTATATCTATTAAAGATTCTATTATTAATTCTATTATTATTATAGTCTTATAAACGTATTTATCTAGAGTAAGGCTATTTATTATATTACTTACTAACTTTACTATTAAGAAACTTCTTATTACTAATATATATGCGTTTTTCTATAAACTTAAGTAAATATTTAATATAGATTAGCTTAATTATATTACTATAGATACGCCTAAGGCCTACGCTATTTATATTTATACCTTTATATATAAACTAGTACTAACTATAAAACTATATTCTTTTAAACTTATTTATAATACTATTACTTTATAAATTAGAGCTTTAAGTAGAATTCTTAGTTAGCTTAATAGGCTATTAAGTAGAAAAGAGAAGGTATTTATAGAAAGTTTCTTAAGTATTACTATACTTAAATAGATAGAGGCTATAATAGTTATCTAGAATTGCTCTTAAATAAGTAGTTATCTTTACTAGAGAATAAATGTAGCTAGTTCTATTAATAGTATACCTATTACTATATATTATATTATTTCTAGTTATAGTATAAAGAAAGTTATATAGGTAAGTATAAAATAAGTCTATACTATAAGCTAAAACAACTACATTGCTATAGCAATATATACTAAATTAATATTAAAATTATTTAGTAGTTCTAAAGAGAACTAGCTTAAAGTCTTTTAACATTTTTTAATATCTTTTAATATTATTTTACTATAAAGATAACACTAAATTAGACTTAAAGTACTAGAAACTTAAGTATAGTAATTTTCTTAAGTATAAGAAATTTAATATTACTTAAGTATATTAACTATAATTTACTTAAAACGTAAGTAACTTTAAGCTTAATACTAATTATAATAATTAGTTTCTTATATTAAATATATACTTATATATTTACTAAGCTAATAATTTTAGTATATATAAGTTAGAGCTATTACTTAAAGTATAAGCTAAAGTCTAATTTTTATATAGTAATATTTTTATACTTATTAGTACTAAAGTTATTAAAGTTAGTAAAAGTAGTAAAAAATACTATAGTAAATATAATAATAATAGTAGAAATTTTATAGTAATAGAAAAGAGTTAAGTATAGCGCGCGTAAAATTTCTACTTTTAGAAATAAGTAACTATAGTATTATAGAACTTATACTTATAGTTCTGCTACCTTTACTTTTATAGAATATATATTAAAATTACTACTTAAAACCCTAACAGACACCTAGTGATCTTAAGCGCAAACTTGGCAGAGGAGGTGTTGGTGGTTTTCCAGGGTTCCTTTGGATGAATTCGTCGACGTGGCTGCAACTGGATGCGAGGCAAGCCACAGTCTGACAGGCACAATGCACATGGGCGGGTAACTCCCTGCACACGTTCCAGGCCCTCATCGAAGTCATGTCCATTTCAAGTTTCGATATCCCAATGTTTCAACCGTCACATGAAAGAAACACAAATGTGTTCCATCGTTCCATCGCCCACACGCCCAGCGTTCCCGCATCACGCACGCTCTTCCTTTCTTTTTCCTTCGCGTTCGCATAAGCCGTCGTGGTTCGTTGATCTCGGATCCGTCTGATCCGGTAGTGGTACGCAGCGCCGTTAAGTGTCTAATGCTCGCGGTGCTGTGTAACCAAACTAGCAAAACCTGAACTCAGCCTGATCGTGATCGTTTTAGCTGCGGCAGTTGCTTTTCCCCTATCTGCTATGATGCGGAGGACCCTCCGCAGCCGCACGCTACCTTCCCCACGAAATTACCTTAGCCGGCGATCAGGCATTGGTGGCAGTGCGTGACGTCGTGGCTGCTACCGATGATCGTCGGCGGCGCCGTGGCTGTGATGACGATCGAGCGCTGTCTGAGAAGTCATCAGAGTGAGCTGGAATGGATAGATTGGCTGCAAGAGTCGCAATGGTATCCAATGGTATGCAATGAAATTGGTGCTTCAGGTTATTAACGTCCCCGTTATCGATACCAGGCTTAATATTTCACATGCGTTCAAGCACGGATAGGCTGGAACATGTCCCTGCTTCATACTAAGTTTCTCTGCTAATTACACGTCGCTGGTCTCGAACGACAGTATCGAACGACAATATCAGTCTGGCGACGGAGAGGACCTTGATACATATTTTCTTATACCCCGAAACCATACCCGTCCCTTGCTCGTCTGAGCAGCATCGTGCATCTTCAACATAACTTCCTTATCTATCGCTGGTCTCATACAAGATTTACGACCCTCCATAAAGAGACAGTGTTAAGATTACCGTGTATGTATAGAAGACAATCAGACTTGCGATCAATCGCTTGCAAGAACCAGCTCAGGAAGATCGTTCCGATACCAAATACCTTTCGGCCTGACACGGCACACATCCCTAAGATGAACCAAGAACTCCTCTCTAGTAAAGACTTCTCGCCTTATCGCCGTGCCTAAGCAACACAAGCAGTAGAACTCCTTCTCCGCTGCTAATGGCACTGGGTCAATCGCCGGAGCCCAGACAGAGCACATACCCATGACTGTCATCTTCGGTACGACATCCACATCTGTAAGGTGACCTAGGTAGCTAAACCGTTGCTGTGCCTTCATTTCGCCAAGGAAGATGCGACGATTGATCCAATATGTGCTGTATCGATCACCGTCAAGTTGTGTCTGATGGGGACACACCTCATCGACGTATTCCCAATCGTACATCTTCTCCTCTGCCTTAATCCAGAATCTGTTTACCCCATTCGTTAATGTGACAGGTAAAACCCGGAAACGGGACACCGTGCTCAGATTCTCATGTCCTATGTCGCCAACGTAGCGGACTACCGACTCTTTACTCGCGGGCCGTATGTGGCCTATATCTAGACAGCGAAGACAGAGGCGCGTGCACGTAGGTAGGTAGACTATCTCTGCTAGCCTTCCACAACACTTTTTCCCACTCCTTTTGGACGAGCAGCGTCGATGTCGGAGCGTGAGAAACAACATCTTCGGTGTGATGTGCGCTGTATTCCGTATCGCTATCATTCCTTTAACGGTATTTGGCGCCCACTTCAACGCATACCGTAGCGGTGATTCGGTGTCGACGAGGTGCATGGCGAAGCGGCAGCAGCGTCGGAAACGCATCGTGTCTCTGATGGTGAGATCTTCGATGATCTGGAGGAGGATTTCTGTGGGGAAGATTTTGAGAGACCCAAAGACACGGTTCGGGGGTGCTGGGTCTATGAGAGCGGAGATTGGTGACATGCGGTCTATGAGGCCGTCCAGGATGAGACGTGGCGCCTTGTGCTCAAGAGTGAGGTTTTCGATGGTTATGTCTTGGGAAGATGCCATCGTGACTGCTGGCACTGCGCAGGCGCTAGTATGATGGGCCGTGACACTTTTGGGAGAGGCTAAGAGGGTTGTGAGAAGAGCTTACGGCTCAGAATGCTCGTACCCATAGGTATGATGAACAGAATATATACTCGGCTCTGTTTCACATTATTTTCATGTGGCTGTGATGGCAAAACTGTACCATGGTTACCATCCACTTCATCCCATGGTGCGGCCATGACACCTTAACAACGAGCCACACATACCTTCTGCGACCAATATCATACGTAACACGAGGTACTTGTTAGCTAAATAAGCCGTATATATCGAGAAGGAGGACTGGCTTTATGTCGCATACTCGTTCTGTGGTACTGAGCTTCACTAGCTGGTAAACAATTCAAGTCCAGATATGAGATTGAGCAGGGTGGGTGTGGAGGTGCATCTACGACGCTGCTTTTTTCATGAATTCACTTTTGAGCCATGCGCGTAAAATTACATAGCTATCTAACTGCTTGGACTAACCTGTAAATAACACAAGCTAGAATAACATGTGTAGATTAGTACTCAGCAGTATGAGGAGTATACTCAATCCACCATCCATTACCTTCGAAGTCCCATTCGTCGCCACAGTCGACGTGTGCTTTGATCATTTTCACCCAGTACTTGATATCATCACCCTCTTTCGACCTAAGGGTAATCCTACATCGGGAGCCACCTCCCTCTTGAATCCACGCCCATCCGTTAGAGTCAATGTGTGACTCAACATCAAGTTCCCTGATCTGCGAACGAAGTTTATGAACTTCGTTCAAGTCGAGACCCCAGTAACCGGTATTGAGATACATTAAGGTGATCTCTTCCAGGTCCAGCTCCGTAGCGATGAAATCTGCGATTCCGAAAGCGTCTGTGGCCTCAAGCATCCATATGTACTCTAAGCACAGAATCCTCAGAGTCCCCCTGATGGGGCGAAGAGAGGTTTCGAGGTCGGTCTGGCTAGTTTTCAGTCGGGACAGGGAAAGTCGACGAAGTGCCGGGAGATGCAGGGACTGGGTCATTGAAGCAAAGAATTTGTCACAGTATGCTGTGCTTCCGAATCCGATGTGTAAATCATCCAACATGGTTGCCGCTTGGAAAAGATTGGAAAGGTTACGAATATCTTCGGCGTCTTTATCTGTCATAGTTCAGTACTTAGCGTATGCATCAGCTTCTTCATTGGACACACCTTTGCCATTACCGAAGGCTATATCTATTCGAAGCATCCGAAGTTGCTTCGTGAAGATGATAATATCTCCCAGATGAGAAGGAATAGCTGCCATCAAAGGATTGTTGGCGCATATAGATAGCGCCTCAAGAGCCTGGGTAGCGGTATCCGCTATTACTAGTAAAGCTCTTACTGCCACAGCCCAACGTACTGATAGCAGCTCCAACTCTTTCTGTTTTATAACCCTGGTCTTGCACAAGCCAGGCTCGACGATGTGGAATCCACTCAGATTCGGTAAGTTGGACAGAGCAGGCCCGAGAATTTCTGCACAGCCACCAGATTGTAGCCAATTGATTGTCTTTTCGTCGAACGGTGAATCAAAGCCTGGGCGTAGTCTTGCGATCCGGAACTGATGGGCGGCACCGCACTGTACCGTCACAGACTTGACATGGTGAGCTAGCGGTCCCTTTGAGATGCGCAGCAATCGATCGAGTCCAATCTCGCTGAGTGGTACTTGGAGTCGCTTGTAATGATTGATGCCGAAGTATCGCATGACTTTGCTATTGAGCTCCTGACAGGTAAGGCGGAGCGCTTCACAAAGGCGAAACCGACGTTGCCCCTCTCTCTCCATGCAGTTCACGATGTTGAGAATGAGCTCTATCGGTAAGGTAGGAAGATTGACCGTCATGGTTGCCAATGATAACTGTCCAGTTAGCGCGAAATGAAGCAGTAGAAGGCGCGACACGTACCTGGTCGCAGAATTGCACCAGCGGACGGTGTGAGGGTAATGAAGCCTTCACAGGCAGCGAGCGTGTGGGATGCGTAGTCGTATCTGTCGAACTCGATTGAGGTTGCGGTGGAGTGACGCGAGGTGAGTGAGCGTCAGTGCGCAAGTTTTGTGGTCGTCAAACGCTCCTTCCTCCTTCACCGCGCTACTGATGAAGCGAGGTCAAAGGCCCCACAGTACGGCGTGTCAAAGTTAAGAAGACTCACCCCCAGTCCAGTCTCGTGAGACTTCGATATGCACAAGAGCTGACTTTTTGGTCACTCATTTGACATTCAGGACACCCTAGTCATTGTTTGTGCCTTCATTGGGTTTCATGTAGTAGTAAAGGAACCTTGCAAACCACACGATGTCGTCTGATACAAATAATTGATGAAAAAACTTCAGTGCGGTATGAGCGGACCGAGTAGAACGAGCGCTAAGTTATAGAGTGAGCTGTAATAATTGAAAGAGATATCTTGTGCATGGGAGCTTTAGTGAAATGACATATAGGCTGGTATCTATTCTTCTTGAAAGTCTAGCATGCCAGAACTCTCCCATCGCTTGTGCTCCCGTACATTAGCAAGCTCAAAATTCTTGATAGCTACACCAGGTTGATTCTACATATTGACATTGATCGCTAACCGAAGTAAAATAAGGTGAGGTGAGAGTGAGCGTGGGCACGCTCTTAGAGATTTAGCAGTAGCGCGGCGTATATGAGGAAGGAACGACAGAGGAGCACATCTCGATACCATCGCTATCTCGGACAAGTCCACACAGCAGAAACAGCTACTAAATCTAATGCAGCATGATTTGTCCTCAACATTTGAGTATACAGGCTACGAACGTGAAACGTTGATTCATTATCTTGGTCTTGACACTTTGAGACTATTTTCCGCTTAGATCAGAAAGGCAGAAAGCAGATGCAGGCACACTATCGTGAGTCTGCATCAAGATGATCAAGCATCCTCAATCAGACGTCCAACTTGAACAAAAAACTCTCATTCCAACCCCTTTACGCCCTCGCCTTTCTCAGCCTCGATAACGTCGCCTTACCCGCCCTACTATCATTGCCCCGACCCAACTCCTTCGATATCCACTCGCCCACCTCTGCCAACCCCTCGAGATCAACGCCAGTCTTCGCACCTAGACTGTGGAAGCAATGCACCAAGTCCTCCGTCGCCACATTCCCCGTCGCACCAGGACTGAATGGACAACCGCCCAGCCCACCCACCGCCGCATCAAACGTACGAATACCGTGTTCGAGGGCAACGACGGAGTTGACGAGCGCCTGGCCGTATGTGTCGTGGAAGTGGAGTGCTAGGTCATCCTTGTTCACACCAGCGGCGTTCAACGTCTTGAGTAGCTCGAGGGTCTTCGGCGCGGTGCCCATGCCTGTGGTGTCTGCGACTGAGATCTCGTCTGCGCCCATCTCCAGTAAGCTCACTGCTAGCTCTGCGACCTTGTGTGGATCTACATCTGGGCCTTCGTAGGGACAGCCAAGGGCGACGGAAATGTAGGCCCGTACTTTGAGGTCCATTTCCTTTGCTTTTGACATGATGGGCTCGAAGCGTTGTAGCGACTCGGCGATGGAGCAATTTGTGTTCTTCTGGGTGAAGGATTCGGTCGCGGCGGTGAAGATGGAGAGTTCGTGGATGGGGGCTTGGGTGTCGCGGCTCGCGTTCATGGCTTCAGCGCCGGAGGAGGCGGAGAGCATGGCGTTGGGGTCTGAGGAGGAGGTGTTTAGAGCTGGTCCGTTGTCTGTGCCTGGGGATGGTGGAGGTGTTGGGTATGCATCCTGTCCTGCCTGCGACTTGGACTGCCACATGGAGAGGAAGTTGTCGAAGCCCTTGACGTTCGGAAGGAGCCATTGGTACGTGATCGGATGCGGAGATTGGGGCGTTCGAGAGAGGACGTGTTCGAGGATCTCAGCCGAATTGGCCATCTGTCTTGGTGGTCAGCGCATGTCCTCAGCTTCAACAGCTGTGGCTCACCTGTGGTACCCATTTGGGCGAGACGAAGGAGCCTGCCTCAATGGTAGTCAGACCAGTCTTGGCGAGTCTCTCAATCAGCTCTATCTTGGTCGCCAGCGGTATTGTCTGCTTCTCATTCTGCAACCCATCGCGTGGCCCAACTTCCACAATGCGAACGTGGTCTGCGCGGCTAGAGGCGGCTGAAGCAAATGTTCGTCGCGGGCACGGGTAACGCGCAGCGAGACGCGCTGAACGGAGGCAGAAGAACTTGGACGTCATGGCGATAGTCTGCTTGGATGTAGTAGGCGACTCGGCGTTGCATTCAGAGGTAGGACATGACGTGCATAGCTGTCAGACGGTTTGTGGGGTTGATGTTTGCGGGGATCAGGTTATGCATGGACCGCTGAGCCGAGCTTGGAGCTCCAGCCTTGCCCAGGAAGAAGCTTCGACACTTCACACGCGAGCATCGTGAACGTGGAGCATTGCATCTCATGCATCGTGAAGCGAGTTGTAGCACTTGACGTCTCAGACTGCATTCAACTCCTAGCAACATGGAGTTACTGTACGACATCTGCTTTCACTGAAATCTTGGCACGCTCTAACTGCATCCGCTGCACCACGAAGCTTCCAGATATCGGTCTCTGACATCAACATCTCTCAAAACCGCGACTCTCGAGCAGGCGGGATACTCGGGAAGTTCTCCCTTCGCTCCCCACTTCCGATTGTGCACTTGGATTGCGCCATCGACGGCCACAGGTTCGTCTCCACGAGAGCTCCATGGCGTCGTGGGAAGTCGAAATTACCTGTGCAAGCTAAGGCGCTTCAAGCTAGTGAGCCGAAACTCTGTCAAGCGCTCTCCACCACAGCCAATAGTCAATTCACGTGCTAGACATGTATCTAGCGGATCTGCACGCAGTATTGTGTCGAACCGCAACCATCAGACCGCTCTTCTGCGTCGCTTGAAAGCGCAGTGTCCGCGTGTGCAAGAGCCGGATGCGTTCAGACGATATCGACACTAATACCCAAGACCCAGCGGGTCCTATCGACGGTGCTGGTTACTAGCGCAGGGTTCAAGTGGGGACCATAAATAGAGGTCCGAGGAGCCCTAGTCGCTGTTCCAACCGCAGCCGCCGGTTGTTCAAGATCCAGCGCTTGCGGGCGCCTTCGTTTCTGTCGTTCCCTACCAAGTGCCGGCGAAATGACGATCTTCAAGATGTAAACACGGAAGCATTTCTCCATACAGACTGCCTCGGCCTGGCCAGAGTCTTTGAAACGTCTGCTGTCGGGCCGGGCATCGTAGATTTGAGGGTCCCGGAAGCGAGCCCTGGAGATCTTGTACAACTCTACCTGGCGCCGGAAGAATTCCTAGGGCGGAGATGAGGATTTTAAAGAGTAGCCATGGCCCGCTCGCTTCGAGACATGTCCCACAGCATGGCGTAGCTGCTCTACTCGTACGTGTCGGACAAACTCCGACCCTCAGGCATTGAACGTTCGATGCATCATAGTGGGATGATTGTCGGACATTGCCCGGAGCTTGAGAGTGAATGTGAGAAGCCGCAACTGTCCTATCATTTTGTCTAGCCTGGCAGAAGCTAAGCCTCTTGCCGGCATCCGTGAGGCTCTCCGTTATGTTCGGTGCGATAGCAAGGCCTGGAATCAGGAGACCCTACGCGGGTCTTCTGCGGACAAGGAGGGCAGACTGACACGACGAATTCGTGAGAGACGTACCAAGTGGGCAAACGAGGCCTGGCTCGTATCCCCGTACTACCCCGCGTGTGCACATTTGCGCAGGCGCATGGACGGTGAACTGCTTCCCCAGGTACGGACGGCTAGTGACCTGTCTGAGAATGAAACCTTGTCTAGCAACACAAAAGCCATCTGCTGACGGGAGGTTGAAGCTGCTTGTTACCTGAGACAAATCGTTGAGTGGTGGAGCGCAGCCAGCATACCAAAGTAGCGCATGTCTCCGATGCATGTCTGACTTGGCGCTCACGTGCACAATGGTATGATGAGGCTAGCGTGTGTGAATCGGTGAAGACGCCATTCGACGACGGATGGCACGCACACGAATAAGGTGGGTGACGGCTGGACTAGCTGGAGTTCGGCACCTGTGCGGCGGCCGCAGCCACGGCATCATGGACTGCCTAGTCCGGACGGGTGAGGCTGCTGGGAGATGCGATGAGGGAGGGCGGAGGGCGGAGGGCGACCTCATGAGCTCATGAGGTGTTTGGGGAGTGCGACGGACTGGGTGCAGTCGCAGTCGCCGTGGGGGTGGCAGTCGGATGGCCATGGTCATATCGCGCGCTCATCAGGCCCGCATGGCTGTTATCACAGCGGGTCCCACAAGAACGGTTCTGCCAAGAGGCATGCGGAGCAGGCGACAGCAGCAACGACAGCTGCGCAGTGCTGGCAGTCGTCCGGTACTGCCAGGCACCCCGGCCATTGCGTGCAGCTCTGCATCATCCACGCCTGGGCCCGCCGTGTCCTCAGTCCTCGATGTCATCGCAATATCCGCGCCGTCAGACGTGCCCTTCGCGTGCAGAGGTGCGCAAATTGCATCACGCATCCCAATCCGTTGCGTCTTATGCCTTGCGCCTTGCGGCAGATCAGTGTCGGCTGCGGGGTTGGCCTGTCTGCTGTCGTCCTGTCAATGAGCGACCGTTTCTTTAACCTTACGTACTCACCAGGGCTGGCCTTGGCAGAGGCTTCACAGCGGGCGGCTTGTCGCTGCCTGCTCCCACTGGCAAACCTCAGCGCGGCCATGCCAGGCTGTCCTGGCGCCCTTCTACACAGCTTCGATGCGTCTTCGCGACGGCACCTTGATCGCCTCGGTCGGCTCCGTGACCATTTGCGTGCGGTCATTCGCCCGGGCGCTCACGTTGCCCATGCTGGCCCTGACGCTATCAGCAGCAGCCAGCGCTGGCCGCCTGCAGCTGTGCAGCACCTCGCGAGCCGAAGACGCCCTGGACGCCTTCACCCCGGAGCCCTCGACACAAGCTCTCTCAGTGGCTGTGGCCTCGTAGCTGCTCCGAACTTAGCGGCCGGTAGCAGATCGTGTGCGCTGCAGCCTCTCATTCGTGGAGTCTTGGTGGCGTCCAGCCCTCTCCGTCCTGCAGCAGGCCTCTGTCGCCATCCACCCTGCTCTGCTGCCGGGGTGCCACCATTTTTCCACGATGTAACCCGACGCTACCTCGCCCTGCCCTGCAATTCGCCGTCACCGTGTGGGGTGTGGTAAGGGTTGCCACAGCCAAAGCCTCGCTGCCGCTGCGAGAACATGCGGGCACCTGGCCTACTCGCTGCGGGCCACATCCTTCATGCACATCTCTCAAGATGACCACCTCTTCTCTTAATATCCTAGCGTCGAGTATGCCGCGGCATTTTGCATCCTTCATCTTGGCAGAACCAGAGCCCTGCAAGCTAGGGCCCTGACCTTATCTGACGGGGACCAAGCTTCCTTTACCCAGACCCGTCGAGCCAAAATAATACTTACCCACCGTGACGCCGACCTTCTATGCTCCATTGAGTATTACCCCTCGTCTTCTTGTCTATTCTGTTCATACACCTACTATACACGATCCACATCCTGCAGATGCAACGTTGTAGAGTACTGCAATAGCACTTCCTCTTTTATTACACCCATCATGGCCGTCTCTCCCAACACCACCCAGCCTGCTGAGGTCCAGAAAGCCGACAACACCGCCACCAACACCAACACCGCCGCTGCTGCCCCCAGGAAACGAAGAAGAAGAGCTCCTGCCACTGGAGCCACGGACGACTGCTTTGCTTGCAAGAAACGTCAAGTCAAGTGTGATCGACGCCGCCCATACTGTGGGCCGTGCGTCGACATTGGGAAAGAATGCTCCGGATACCGCACCACTCTAACTTGGGGCGTGGGAGTAGCCAGCCGTGGAAAGCTTCGAGGCATGTCTTTGCCTATTGCAAAGTCGCCTCCTTCAACTGCCACACAGGAGCCAAAAGCCCAGCGGATGAACTCGATAGCTTCCACCAGCACTACCTCCACCACCAGTGACCACCAACATCAGCACAACTTCAACAACCGTGCCAGCATCGACTTTGGTGCACATTCACCAAGGAGTCCTACAAGTCCCATGTTCTCTGCACCCCAGGAATACCAGTACTTCAGTCCGACCAGCCCAATACCCATCCCCACTCCGTCTACTCCTATGGGCTATCCCATGCAACATCATGGGGAGCACTTCGAATTCCTACATCCCCAAGCCACCAAGTTCAGACATCACCAGCCTCACAGGGGTCCTCTCCAACGACTGCAAACCACTCTCCATGTGCCTTTCGAGGACAACGGCATGTCGGCATCTTCGGCATCTCTGGGCACATACAGCGATAGCGACTTCCCTTCACCGAGCGAGTTCCCAAACACACCCGTCGATGAGTTTCCTTTCGCAGACCCGTCGATACCACGCTACCAGCCATTTGACCAGGCGCCAATGGGCTCCTTGGACCACTACTTCATCCATGAGGCGCCTCGCTCATTACCCACTGGTGACGACATGAGCTCCAGCGTAAGCTCAGATCAGAGTATACACGACTATCCCGAAGTGAGCGCAGCTTCGCAACCTATGGGCCCTGTTGTGTTTCAGGATGTTTTTGTTGAGGGGGAGATGAGCTCGAGTTTCAACGGATTCCAGCCCGGTTTCTCCTTTCTCCCGTCGGAGGGTATGTCTTCCTATGGCTCTGGCCCCCTGTCTCAAGACGTACTGTCGCTCACCACTTCTATTCCTCAGAGCCTTACCATCGCTTCGCCCCTTTCCCCGCGGATGCTATCCCTTCTGGACTACTACGACAAATTTATATGCCCGGTGCTGGTGGCTTTTGATAGCCATACGAACCCTTACCGGATGCACATCATACATCTGGCCATGCGCAATGAGGAGTTGCAGAACGCCATCGGTGCTCTCGCTACCAACAACATGCGCATGCGCGGAGGTATTGAGGGACGGCGGTTGAGTGTACTGCATGACACACGCCTCATACCAGATCATGCCTACTCGCAAATGACGACACGAGAGCTGCGCGAGATGCATGGCGAGGCAACCGACGAAGAGAAGCACTACAAGGCCAACTCTATTGCCCTCCTCAACAAGAAGCTTGTCGACTACGATGGTTCGCAGGACGACTCCGTACTCGCCACGCTTCTGATTCTTTGTCTCTTCCATGTTTGCGATTCTGGCTTTACCAAGTTCAAGACCCAGCTTGCTGGCGTGCAGAAACTGCTTAGTCTTCGCGACAGGACAATTCGG